TAATTATAAAAATTATATATATATATAATTATATATATATATACTAAGAAAAGGTGCTGCTAAAATTTCATTACGATCGTAATAAGAAATTGTATGAAAAAAAAATTTTATATATATATAATTATAAAAATTATATATATACTAAGGAAAGGTGCTGCTAAAATTTCATTACGATCGTAATAAGAAATTGTTCGAAATTTTCTGAACAATTTTAGTTTTTTCAAATGAGATATACGATTTAACATTTCCAAATATACTTCAATACAAAAAAGAAGATATTGCAAATTGTATACGTATTTTAATGTGTTCAACAGATTTCAAGGACTATATTTTGAAAATTTCATTTTATTTAAGAATAACATTGTTTGAAGAATATTTCGTTCATGAAAATATTACTATAAATCTTTGGACGTAACGTCTTTTAGTTTTCTATATTTGTATTTAAATATATGATGATTTATGTAATATTACTTCATGTGTTTTTGATTACAAATCTTTATTATTTAATTTTAAAATACACACACTCATATCGCATTTTGCAATGTGTGTAGTTTGATAATTTGGTGTACATAATATAGCATAAACATATCTGTTATATTAAGATAAAACACATGAAACATGGTACTAGTTCTTTACAGCTTTTAACATTTACGTTTGCTTAATTTTTTTGTTTACTTATCTAATTTTATATTTTCTTGATTGTCATTAAAAGATTTACGAATTTATATATCGATTTTTGTCTTTCCCTTGAACAGTTCTTGTGACTTTTACATAAATGAATAAAAGAAGTCATCTTGATAACAAGAAGTATAATATTTCTTTGCGCGTATATTGTTTTATGTATATTAATTTTTAAATTATGTTGTATTATAGAATTTTTACAGGACTTTTGTTTTCTACTTGTGTAATATATCATTAAAATATGAATTTGAATAATTAAAACCAGAAAAGAATCTCGTAAAAAAATATATTTTCAAATTGTAACATCTATAAAGTAATGATATGATACTTATTATTGAATATTGAAGAAAATATACTTATTATTTACAAAAAATGTATAGAAGTTTACATGTTATTTATGTATTTATTTGTACAAAAATGAATTATCTGAATCTGATTGACATTATAGATCATCTCTGAGTTTTTCATCGTCATTGTAATATTCACAAGAATGCTCGGGTTGCAGCACTTCTTCCATGTTATGTAACACTTTAACTTTACTCTTTAAGCGTTTACTCCATTCCTGAAGTGTAAAAACAAACATGTTATTCTATAATATATATTTAAGTAAAAAATAAATGAAGTTGAATCTATACAATTTTTAACGGGAATTTCTTACGTGAAACAAAACTACATGATAACATAACACATTATGTGGTAATAAATTATCCCTTGCAAATTGTCTAGCAGATCTTGTAATTTGTAGGACTTCTTGATCATGTTTTTTAGCCCACATAATTTTTTCAACCAGATTTGACAAATCCCTTTTAATAGGTATATAATGTTTTCCAGGTACAAGACTGTTATAAAAAAATTCATAGTACTTTGATTCTTGTTTGAATACTAAGGCATCTCCAGCAAGTAAATATGGAAATCGATATGCTGCCACTGTACCATCTATATTTAATTGATATTTGTACTGCATAACATTATTATCTTTTAGTTATTTTTATATTTGTAGTTATATTACACAATCAATAGGCTTGTTTATCTTACCTTAAAAAAGTTAAAGAAAGATACGTAGCTTTGTGCTGGACCATATTTATTCATTTCATCTTTAAAAAAGAAGAAATTTGTAATCGAAACATTAAACAAATCAGGATATTTTCTTGAAATATCAATTAAATCTAATCGTTCTCTACGGGAATCTCGACCACGCCAAAATATTTTTTCTATCTTTTTTTCCCATAATGTATCTGTATTACCTTGTACAGACAGCATATCTAACATTACCCTGTATTATGTGTAATAATAAATATTATAACAAATAGAAAAACACTACATATTATCATATGAAATAACACTAGAAATTTAATTAAATTTCTACCTGCTCATTCCTTCTAAAGAAGATTCTGTGATATCATAAGTAGGCATAACAATATCTTTTGTATCAAAAGAGCCACACCAAGAAAAAATAGGATAATTTTTGCTCTCTTTTGAAACAAGCGGCCAATCTCCCAAATTTACAAAGAATTCAATATCTGGCAGTAAAACTTTGCGAGTAATAGACAGAAGAATAGAATCCATAAATATTTTAAAGCCTACATAACGACCATGACACTCCCTAAAAATCTTATTTCATTTAACTTAATTTAAATATATTCGTTTTAAGCAAATTTTAAGGTTGCCAGCTGCAGAAGTATTTACTTTGTTAGACTGAATCACATAATGACATAAACTAATACTTCCTGGCCGATCATATGTTCTAACAATATTTTCACGCATTTTGTCAAAGTCTACATTTGTGAAAGGAGCAAGATCGTCATGTATCTGCTTATAACTCTTTGGACATCCTAGATTCTCTAGCCAACTATTAATAGAAAGATTTGGACAGTAACATTCTTCTTCATAAATAGGTCCTAAAAATAATCATTGAATTATTTGTATTATACAAGAGATAATAAAGAAATTTATGCAATAGATAAATTTAATACCTCTGAACTTTACTGATAAGATAGACAAATTACTGGATTTTGCTTTTATTGTTAATTCAAAATTGAAGCATGTATTATATAATTTATATCTGACAATAAAACTTCCATCTTTACAATCTAAAATTTGTGTCGATATATGACATGAATGTCCTATTGAAGTTAGTCCTGATGTATATACATTTACTGTATCTTTTCCTGGTGATTTTGTTAAACTGAAACAATTTGTAAGTAAAAAAAAAATATACATATATTTTAAAAAATATGACTAAACTTTGGTACTTAATTCACTTGTATTATATATATATATATATATATAATATGTATTATATGTATTATATATATATATATAAACTTTTAGAATATAGATATCTGTAATCAAAATAAAAATCATACTTTTTGCCTTGTAAGTCGACAAACTGTAGAAAAATGTATCTTGCCCGCATTGTTATTTTATCTGGTTTCAATCCTGGACCCCAAATTATTGTTTTCGATGGATTTATTTCATGATCCTTTATTTCTTGAAAAGTAGCTAACAATAGAATCAATAGAAATATCATTTTTATCAAGAATAACTGCCGATAGATGAAAAACGCTTGATACATTGCAGAAACGTTGTAAATATCGTTCTTTTGTGTACGGAAATTCATTCATAAAAAAAAAAATTTTAAACTCATGAAAAAATTCAACTAAAATAAGTTTATTTCGTTTATCATTCTTCGATCATTTTCACATTAAGGGCCTTTATTGAATAGAAAATTTGCCGTGAAAATATATTTATTTTAATTCGAATGTGTAAAAACGGCGTTTTTGAAATTGAAAAGTGTAACAAACAAAAGTCTGAAGTTGATCGGAATTATTTTGCCTAGTTTGCCTAGTTATGAGAGTGTCGTTTCGTACACAAATATGGATTTGTAAAAGAAAACTAATTTAAAAAAGAAAAAAAAAGAAAAATGAAATTAACGTTAATTAAAAATTTCTGAATCACTGTCAAACGAGTGTCAATTTTGTGACATTCAACAACATGTAAAAATTTATGTATTTCTAACATCATATCGCAGTTTCACGTATACTATTTACTCTTAGGTTATTTTTTTTATTTATGAAAATTATAGCAATTGTTCTTTATAATTTTATAATTTGTTTAAAAAAAGTTAAGTAAAATATACAATCTGTATGGCATAATATCATGCCGTGAAAATATGTCGGATTTGTCGAGTAATAAGAGAATTCTCTCAATTTTGAATTTTCAGGTGGGAATTTTTTGCTTTACAGAATCGGCGAAAAGTGACGGAAAACATGATTTTCGAATCCTTGAGGTAATAACAACTTCGATTTGTCTCGAAAGTTCGGAAAATTGGATATAGCATAAAAGGAGGATCATCTGTGCAACATTTTTTTAATAAGTATATAACGACATGGAGTGTAATATCGATGATCTACCAGACGTTATATTAGAATATATTTTAAGTCTAATTCCACCATACAAGACTCTTCAAGAATGTAAACTTGTATCTAAAAGATGGTTCCGTGCCACCAAAAGTATGTAAAATGCATTTTATTCTGTATGTAATGCTTCACAAATGTGTTGAAACATTTATTTAAATCTTTAATGAATTATTATATGTTGCCTGATATCAATGCTGATAATTTCAAATTAGTTTATATAATATACAATATGTGTAAGAATTCTCTATGGTAAATGTTCAAATACTTTTGTGAACTAAATATATCTAGATTATAATTAACATATTTTTTGGAATTAATGGAATGCTTATGTTTTCTTATAGATGTAATACAACATAATAAAACACATTTTCACAAATCTGTGGCTTGTGGATCACTGCTTTGGAATTCATGGTCATCTAAACACTGGATGCCTACAATTGCAAAGAGGCATTCACATTCTGCTTGTACATATGAAAATTCTATGTATGTCTTTGGTGGGTGTACTGCTACATGTACAACATTCAATGATTTATGGAGATTAGACTTAGATACAAGAAAATGGGTCAGATTAATTACTATGGGAGCTTATCCATCACCTAAAGCTTGTGCCACTATGTTGTATTATAAAAAAAGTTTCATTTTATTTGGTGGATGGTCCCATCCAGCGCTATATTCTGTGCACCAGGTACAATTGATTAAAAGTCATAAATAATGAAAATAAAAACATTTAAATTGTTTGAAAAATATTCAATATTATGTGTATGTTTTTAGCAATCAAGATTATTCAACGAATTACATGTGTATTCTATAGAATCCAATAAATGGATTGCCATAAACACTTTGGAAACACCTCCACCCACTTCAGCACATTCTGCATCAATTCACAAAAACTATATGATTATTTTTGGTGGTATATGTAATGGATATAGGTAAAATATATGAAATTGTTGAATACTGTTTTATTAATTATTAATTTGATTTAATAACAATAAGATACTATTTTGAGATAGATCCAATGACGTATGGTGTTTAAATTTGGATTCCTACAGTTGGCATAAGCAAGCCACTTCAAATTTGAAACCACAACCACGTTATGGTCAGTCTCAAATTGAACTCGGAGATAAGCATCTTCTTATTTTAGGTAAGATTTTTAGACTTTTAAAAATTAGAGATTCCTCTGATTTCAAAGTTTTCTTGTAAGTACTTTAAATAATATGAACTTAAATATTTCAAAAATTAGGAGGCTGCACTGGACCTAATGTTGCTATGAATGATGCTTGGTTATTAAAAATGGAAGGTACAGCATGGACATGGAAAAAAGTAAATATGCACAATACTGAATGGGCTCCAACACGTATTTGGTGCCATCAAGCTTGTAAGGTAATAGTTTGTTAATTAAGAGTTCATGATATTTTGCATTATTTATTTATCTTTTAACTTTATAGGTAGGAAATTATGTCATTGTTCTTAGTGTAAATAAATGTCAAAATAAGCCGAACGACATGAGTATATCGCTGAAGAAAGTCACTTGCCAAGCAGCGCCTTCATCAAGAACAAATAATTCATCTCCGTTACATGCAAGGTTCGATTATATAAATATATTATTAATATTGATTAAATGAAAGTTAGCAAAATCTATGATTACATTTTATTTTTAGGCAAGGGAATGCATCTCATATTGATAGAGACGTAAACATCAATGGACGTCATGGATCTTTCTCAGAAATATCTATACCAAATCCACGTCCTTCGCATCATCCACCTAATTTTACAAAAAATCTAACATTATGTTATGATAATATGTTAAGTATGACTGCTTTTCGTAATGAACCAGTGCGTTATGACATTAATAGTCATCGACAACGGCAATTAGAATCTCTGCGTAGAATGGAAGAAAGCATTAGAAATCGAAGAACACAATCAAAACCTGCAAAGAAAAAGAGAAATACATTGTCCATATTTGTATTAGACATTACAAATGTTTTATGCGATGAATGTAGCGCATCGTGGATTCCTTTAAAACATAGTGACCAATCAGGTCCTAACGAAAGAATTCTTTATTCACTCGTAGCTGGTCGTGGTGAATTAATAGTATTTGGAGGAATTGGTAAAGAACAAGCGCCTATACAAAGCCATTCTGATATGGATGAACCTGAAGTCTATAATGATCTCTATTTTATAAATCCACCAAGATATGTTATTTAATATCTTGTAGTAATAAATAATATACTCTTATGTTTGATGAAAGATAGTTTAATTTTGTTAGTCTTAGCTCTAA